TACACCAGATAGACAAAAAAACTGAAACAGCATATGTATTAATCAGGGAGCGACAGAGTTCTCTTTCCAATCCCATAGCCACGGAAAGGAGAATATGAGTTTTCTCAAACCCCCCCAAACAAATGCTAATCCATAACTTACTCCATCTCAGTCTTTGCGGATCATTCGTGGGGATCCTTTGTAGATTGGGCTATTTGGTTGTCGGATGAGTTGTGTATGGGGAATGTAACGGTAGTGATTGGTATTAGGGCATTCTCAGGTTCACTAGTCAAGGAGATGTAGCCCAGTGAGTTATGTAGTTCCCATGTCAGGATATAGTGTCCCTTATGATTACCCATAGGATAACAGTCCCAGGTACCTGTGAAAACCAATGTCGGCAAGGAGTGGACCAGCTGGCCGTATGATAGGGAGTGTCTGACTGTGAGAGAACTTCACTCCCCTACTGTGAACCAGTCCCGCAGGAGTATGTGGATGAAGTCGTTGGAAAAAGCAGGTCGGTTGGAGCCTGGATCCCCAGGTCACGCAGAAAGGGGGTATGGTCTCGGCCATCCTGAAAAGTTTAGTAAATGGAACGGGTGGCCCCAAGCATACTTAATCTTGTTCTTGCAGAGGAGATCTATAACTGGTTTCCATTCTCGACACCTTTGTAAAGTAAATGGAGATAAGTCCTGGAACAGGGCAACCTCCGTGCCATTATAGGTGATAGGACCTTCTCTGCTTCTTTTCATCATGGCCTCTTTAGCTTGAAAAAATTTGAAATCGAATGATGACAACTCTGTGCATTTTGTTGTCTGTCTTCCTTGCTCTAAGTGCTCGGTGTGCCCTTTCAATGTGCCGCTGATGTTCTGGTAAATCTGGTAGTAGAATTTTAAGTTTAGTCAATATCTCGTTGATTAGTGGGCCTTCTCCTTCTTGCTCCTGGAGACCTCGCAGGCAAATATTGCGATCAGTTTGAGGTCCTTTAATGCAGATTTCCCTGAAAGGTGTTCTTAGTTCACTCGTCCTCCATCTTGAGGTTCTGTCTGAGCAACATAGGAGGCCTGCTTCAGTATCCTGACACCCCTGGATCAAAGTGTTTCTTTGACTGTTTCTGGGAGTGCGTTTGTCGTTAATGTCTTTTAAGCTGTTTTGAGCTGTATTGTCTGTGATTTAATTGCTTTTGTTAGCTGTTGGTCACATGGACTGTGCAGAGCTCCAAGGTCAGACCACGTCCCCTGAGCTAACACTTCAATGGCCTTTGGAGTGATGTTTAAAAACCCGCTAATTATCTAAATGTGCATAGGGATTTTGGATAGTGTGCATGTAACTTTTTTTCTTTGGTTTTTATTGTATACATTAGGGCTGACGTAGTCATTAGTCATTGCTATCACCCAGGAGTAGTGGACTTTGAGCACAGAGAAATGCCTCATGAAATCTAAACAAACTGCAGTGCAAAGGCGCTGTGACATTTATGTAGTTAAAGCGTCTTTATAATGTAATAACATATGCTTTATGCTTCCATTTCTATTTTATTTGTTGTATGAGACTTAGTAATGTCTCAGATTAAAACCTATAAGAGATTCTGAAGAAAATAACTGAGCATAGAGAGCCTATCCTCAAAACATTTTCTATTTCCTGCTCTCGTAGGTGGTGACCTTTTCTGCTTCTTATATCAGTAGTGCTTGCAGATACACCTTGTTACAGAGGTAACTATTTTGCCTTATACCCTGTTTAATTTAGAGGTATTTCAATTTACAGCGAGACTAATCAAAATACTCTGCTTGGAGTATTAAAAAGATCCCCTTTCCTCTCCCACTTGCTTTTTAACTGGTTCCCTCCATTTCAAATTATGCAAACATCATTTAACCCCCTAAGGACACATGACATGTGTGACATATCAGGATTCCCTTTTATTCCAGATGTTTTGGCTAATAAACCTGTGTTCTAGTATTATTCTATTACCTGTCGTATCTGGCACCAAGGCATTAGCATCAGATCTTTTAACTCTTGCAAGTTGCGAGATGGGGCCACCATGAATCAGATTTGTTGTTCCAGGATAGATGCTCAATCAGATAGAGATCAGAATTTGAACTATTTGTCATGTTCCTCAAACAATTCCTGAACCATTTTTGCAGTATGGCCGAGTGCATTGTCCTGCTGAAGGAGGCCACTGTCATCAAGGAACACCATTGCCATGAAAAGGTATACATGATCTGCAACCCATCTCTAGATAGGTGGTGTGACAGAAGCTCCCATACCATGTGTCACGATTCCGGAACCTAACACGCTAACAGGTCACAGAGAGGAAGGGTGCTATACCGGTCCTTAGAGTGGCCGAGCTAAGCACACTAAGAATAGTCAGGAGACAAGCCAAGTAAAGGGAACCAGAAAACGGGAGAACGAGAAACAAGCCGAGGTCAAAGGAGTGGAGAAGACAGGATAATCAGAATAACAAGCCAAATAATCGGTAACCAGACAGCAACACAAGAAAACTGCAATACAGGTATCACAAGACCACAACAGGGCACTGAGAGACAGGAAAGGTAAGTATAAATATCCTTTGTTTAATTCTGATTGAATAACTTCCAATCAGAATTAACAATCACACGTGGGAGATATCTACGCCTCCCACTGTGATTGTGGTACTGTTGCTTTAATGCCGGGTCAGTCACGTGACCCCGGCGTTTGCATAAATTTGCGACCGGCAAGCAGCGGAGAGGAGACGCCGCTCACCGACAGGTAGGAGGAGGGGAGACCGCGATGGACTAAGGGTGAGTGCTGCAAGTGGCGTGCAGCCTCCCCTCACAGCCGCCCGCGGACCCCTGACACCATGGCCTTTTTGAGGGCTTGAAGGCCAGCCTTCTGCCTACAGACTTTGGACCTGGTCCTAAGAGCCCCTGAAAGGGGATTGTGATGGTAGCAATTGAAATACAAACTATTCATTGATAACTTTTGTATGTCCATTTACATACTACTGGATGGTATATGGTATAATATGCAAATTAGGGCTACCAAATAAGTAGAAATGTATATATATTGTTGCTTCTTATTGTGTTCAAAATATTCTTGCCTTATATATTTCATGTATTAATAATAATTGTTTGTTTGCTAATGTTCTATATATTTGTATTTTAAATGTTTGACACCACATGTTTAAGGACTATTTCCCACTAGTTATTGTCCAAAAAAAGAATTGTAATGTTAGTTCCTTTTGGAACTGGGTGTCCTGTGTGGATTTGTTCAGGAATCCCAGTGACAGAATCTTCAGACCTGTTAGCTGGTTGCATGGTCCTATAGCCCGGGACAAGTGCAAAAGAGCTAGGCCTGAGAGCCCCAACTGCCTTTATAAAGAGGCAGAGAAAACCATACCTGCCTGGAAGTAGGGAGCAGCAGCCAGGTCCAGTAAAGCTTCTATGACAACCAAGTATATCCCTAACAATATACAAAGAATTCAATTCTATGACAACCAAGGCTGGTACACATGAGAATAAAAAGAGTATTTTTTCTATATAAAATTACTGCATAGGTCCAACCACGTAACCAGCACTATTAGTATTTTTAGTGCAGCCACAAGTGAGAAAACCACTCACCGTAATTCCACTCTTCTGTTGATGGTATTCATGTTAGAACATTGTCAAGAGTATATTTTTATAGCTTATTGCACTTCTGGCCACACCACAACTACTGATGGTGCCATTCACTTGGTCAGCATTATAAAATAAGAACGGTCTTTCTGACTCCTTCAATGTTGTGCTTGGTGTTGTAGGTAAGGAACCGCTACTCTCAAATCTGCTGCAACCTTCTTGTCACAACTTCACTGTTTTTTGTTTTTTTTTTTTAATTCTTTATTTAGGTTGTGACATAGTGCAAGAACATAATTGTCATACAATCTTTGAGGCTTACGCAGAAGCCAAAATTGGCGTCGTATCACTTGTGTATATTTCGTACAACAGGTGGATTTTATATGCTGTCACGTTTTATATTTTTTGGGGAACATGCAGAACAATAAATCAACACAACAGTACACAAAGGGTGCATAGGACAATTCGCATAGGCCCAGTGGCAAGCAGTGGCCGCGCTCGTCTGCAGGGCGGGTAACCATGTGGCAGCTCTAAGGTGCATGCCTTTAGCTACCTTCCTTGAGTCATGGCCGTAGCATGTCACTGGTATTCCTACTTTCAATTGTTTTTTTTATAAATAAATTCTTTGTTTTCAAAGGAACCTGGATAGTGTAACATACAGGTTTTGGACATGGTGGTACATCTATGATGTCAGGTTTCTTAGCGCTGTCGTGTCGTTTAAAATAGTTTTGCTGTTGGTAGCTGCTGACAACTTCACTGTTAAAGTCAAGCTTTTACTTCATGGAAAAAAGAAATAAAGATATGGCACAATGGAAAAAGTGGGGAATTATAAACAACTGTGCATTGGGTAAATAGGGAAGTAGCTGAAAATTAAAATGAGGGATTTAAAAGTGTTGAGGAAGATGGAATGCTTACGAGAAAGAATGAATGGGAGAAAAAGTAAAGAATGATGGTAGGAGATTGTGAGGAAAAGGGAAGGTGGAATATTAAGTAAGAAGTGACCGGAGAAATGAAATAAGGAAATATTAAATGGAAAGAGGCAACGGGTTTAGGCATGAAGATGAATGCATCATGGCATAATAACGGGAGTGATAAATTAAATAAGCGTAGTAGACAGTGAATGAATGAGAGAAAAAGAGAAGGCAGAAAAATAGCTGGGATGAGATTGAGGTGGAAGATAGACTGAGAGACATCAGATGAACTGAGGAAAATGAGTTGACAGGGAGTAGATTAGACTGTGTTTCTATGAAATGGAATTGACTTTGTTACTGTGCATAGCTTGAGTTAACCAGTAAAATATTGTGAAATTTACATAATTCTACATGTTTATGTACTGGACCCAATCCCTGAGCTTATTGGTCCAAAACACTCCACACTACAAACATTGAAAAGTACTGATCTAAATATTGAATGAGACCACACATGAAGAATTATATATATATGTATAAATCTTTTTTTTATTCTTTTACTTAAGAACATTAACACTCTTGATAAAATGCGACTCGATGACACATGAATCAGATCTACAGCGCATTCAGCTAGAATTGTTAGTAACACATATACAGCAACATTCAGCTGACACATAAAAGGTTTGTTCCTGAGATTACACATTTTAATGTCAAAGAGATATCTTCTCTATTAAGATAAGTTGGATGGATATTTGATTTACAAAAGCACATAAAACACTGAACCAATCAAAATAACAATTTACATGGTTTAAAAATATTGGAGAAGTCTGGAATTTGCAGTTGATTACTTGATGTTCCAGATGAAAATTTTCTTTATATAAGAAAAATGAATGCATGTGATCATCAGTTAGTCTTAGATGTCCAAACTCTGATAGTATTGATAATTACTAGACTGCGGTAGTCTACACTGTGAAATGTTTACTTATGGGATGTTATATAAACAGTATCTAATTTAAGATTATAGCACTAGAAATGCCATAGCTGTCTCGTGTTTTTAAAGCATGATGGCTGTTCTCAGGAGTCTTATTTTAGTGACTTTATCAATATATGGTGATAAGGTTAGAAGTGCAAATATTTTGGTAACACTGAAAGTCAGTCTTTGGTCATTCCTGAAGTGTGACATACAGAATTTTACAGTTGAATTTTTCCTTAACGTGGTAAATAATCTGTCTTTGAGTATATATGTCCTTGCAACCTAGGTCAGGAAAGTCAGAGTCTGAACTTGACTGTGCACATATTTTATTTCCAAAACAAATCTGTTATTCTAGAAATTAGCTTAAAACCATTTTTAGCCATTTGTGTTCTCATCAGAGACAGTATTCCATGGTTTGCATAAGTAAGGTCTTGTTCTAGCCCATTGCCCGTATTTATTTCACTTTTTCTGAAAGACCAACATCCAAAATAAAATATATTTAATTTTGTGGGAAGAAAACCAAAAATCTTTCATATGCAGTTACTCAACTTCCCATAGACCATGTCTCTCAAACTAATCCTAAATACTCGTCAGTTGTCCCATTTTATTAATATTCCCATTGGAACTGAATTGAAATCTCTGAAAATGCTGGGCTATTTGGAGTCTGTGCGGGACTTGGTTGAGTTCCTACAACATTCGAAGACAATAAAGGGAGGTTTTATGAAAAATTAGAAGTTAATACCCCCGGCTGCATGATTCTATTATGTACAATACACTTAATGTGAGAGTTACAGTTGTTGCTGCATGATATATGTATCTCTTAACAGGCACTCATGAACTGTTTGCATTTTCCAATATGGACAAAAGATCAGCTGAGTAGTATATACTCACAGCAATAAACCTCTCTACTTTCACTCTCACGCAGGAGTCTAAATAAATACTACTTTGTCATTCATTGAAAAAAATATAACTTGGAAGCTTTCTCCCCAACATTTCAAGTTATTGCAAACCTGCTGATTATAACTAAATATATACATATTTACAGTGAAATACATCAAAGCAGGGGTGGGCAGCTTTTTGTACTCTAGATTTTGTGGACTACATCTCCCACAATGCGTCTTGAAGCTGGCAAAGCATCAGGGGAGATGAAGTCCGCAACATCTGGAGTGCTGAAGGTTGCCTACGACAGCATTAGAGTATTCCTTTATCCTATGTTTTAAAAAAAAGTATTTTCTGTTTAGGACATATTTTCACAGAAATACAAACACATACATTTATACATGTTATTTATGTGTTATCCACGTAATTTCCTGCAGAAAATTGCAGATGTATTTGATAAGCAGTCCTTGTTTGAAGATCAGGACTTTCTAAACATCACTTGGAATCTGGAAATAATGTCAGACGGGTAGGTCACTCATTGTTCAGGAAACCTAATCGTCTACATAAAATTTCAAATATCTCAGCAACGCACAGTACCATTGTAATCACGGTAAACGTATACATGGCAATGAGGAAAATGGTTTTTTCAAAGTGTTCAGGAACCATACACCTGGTAATATTATACTTCTTCTCAAGGGGTGATGCATCACATTTGAATATTGGATTGACTTGGAAGCCAAAAAGATGACTTTGTAGCCAAAATGCTACCACCTCCAATATTATCCTTAAAAGTACAGAAATAATGTAAAATACAGTGTAAACGGGTTTTTGGAGAATGTCTTCTTGGTCGATACTTTTGCAAGCTGCGTAAAGGTGGAAAACGGCTCCTGGGACCAGAACTGTCACAAGCTGCAGTGCCCAAAATACCTGTCAAAGAGATGGATTGTAATTTATTAACTTCATCATATAAAAGTAACAGATAAACATTTGAGAAGGAGATTTTAAACAGATAGTGTAAGCACCAAAACAACTTTAGCTTAATGGAGTGCTCTTGGTGTATAGATCATGCTCCTGCGTTCTCACTGCTTAATTTTCTGCCATTTAGAAGTTAAATCATGTTTGGTTCTGTTTTGCTGTTTTGGTGCTTAGGGTGTCCTTCTAGCCCCTTAACCCCATAAGGACTGAGACAGTTGTACAAGTTCAGATCAAAACAAAACGTAAACCAAACCTTGAATTTGCTCTATATGTCGAACCATAATTCACGTATTGCATATTAAGCACACCCACACTTATTATATATAATTGTATTCAGGAGAAACAGGGCTTTCATTTCACATCAAATATTTATATATCAAACAATTTAATATGAAGGAAATTTTTTTTTTGTTTGTTTCTGCATGGCATTTTAACTGTGAATGTCACAATACTGTTATCTGTTACTGCAATAAAGTACACATATTGGTATTCAGCGATGTCTTACGAGTAAAACACTACACCCTATGTACAGGTTTTATGGTATTTTTGGAAAGTTACAGGGTCAAATATAGCGTGTTACATTTTTCAGTATATACACATTGAAACTTGCAAGATTGGTTATGTTGCCTTTGAGACCATATGGTAGCCCAGGAATGAAATTGATATATATATATATATATATATATATATATATATAGCTAACAGGTTGCTAAACACAAATACACACACCAGTCAAGCCAGAAGACTTGCTTTTCCCACATAAATCTCACTTTAACAGTGCTCTCACTACTGCAAGGGATTGTGGGCAGACATATGCAAATGAGCTCAACAAAGAACCACATTTGTTGAGCTCATTTGCATACGCCTATTTAATCACTCCAACCCAATCCCCAACTACTCCTAAGAGCTAAATGTGCCGTAACACTTAACTTACTCTAACTTCTCCCCTGATGGCAAAAATTACTTTGGTAAATCATTATGAAAGACTATTATTAATAACTGTGCAAAGCAACAATTCTCACCCTAACATCAGTTTTTAAAATTCTATATTTAAAATGGTGACATTTTTTAATTCATATGACAAAGGGCACCACCCAGCAGCAGTTATCGACAGTGACTACTGACACTTTTTTTTTTTTAGGTATTCTTGGTTTTTAGTTCAGTGATTAATATAATTGCATATAATGACTTGGTTTAAATATTGTTTTCCCACTGAATTGAACAAAACTTCCTAGCAAAAAAGAGATTGGAAAGATATTGCTTCTGAGATGCTGTTCTATGGAACAATAGCAATTGGAATCAACAAGTTTTAAGAGGAAATTGTCATATACATCTAAATGCTTTTTAGGAAATCTTCAAAATAAACATTAAGGAACTGTGCTACAGCATAGGTCAGTGGTTCCCAACTCTGTTTTAGAGGAGATACTGACAAAGTCTGCATCATTGATGTGCCTTAAGGACTGGTTTAGATACCACTGAGCTATGTTGTAATAGATAACAGTGCACTATAAAATGTATAAGATGATGGAGGATAATTTGTGCTTGGATAGCAAACTTGTTGAAATATAGAATACACAGAGTTGGTGTAAAAGTAAAATTTTCCATACACACATATACACTGATCAGCCATAACATTAAAACCACCAGCCTTGTGCTGTCCAAACAGCTTTGATGCATCAAGGCATTGACTCTACAAGACCTCTGAATGTGTCCTGTGGTATCTGCACCAAGACATTATCATCCGAGACAGTCCAGGCACCAAATCAACTTCAACTTCATCAGTGACTTGAAGAGGAACATACATTTTTCAAGCCAGTTCAGCGGGAAGTCACTTATTGGCTGAGAGCATCAGCTTACTGCTCTCAGCCAATCAGCACGCCACTGCCCAGCGGCACTCCGAGCATCCTGAATATGAAAATTTAGAAGCCAGATGCCGTCTGTGGGGAGTGTACATCGCTGGAGCCAATTTTGGGGTTAAACCATTCAAGAATAGGCAACCTTCGGTACTCCAGGTGTTTTGGACTCCCCTGTCCATGATGCTCTGTCAATATTATGACTCTAAGAGCATTATTGGAGATGTAGTCCATAACATCCGGATTGCCGAAGGTTGCCTACTCCTGGTTTAACCCCTTGAGGTAAAGATGCCTCCGGGGACCATAACAACTTTATTTTGATGAAGTTGTCTTGGTGTCTGGAGTGTCCTTTTAAGTCCTGCAAGTTGCAAGGTAGGGCCTCCATGGATCGGATTTGTTGTTTCAGCAAATCCAACAGATGCTCAATCGGATTGAGATCTGGGGAATTTGGAAGCCAAGGCAACACCTTGAACTCTTCATCATTTTTCTCAAACCATTTCTGAACAATATTTTCAGTGTGGCAGGGTGCATTATCTTGTCACTGTCATTAAGGAACAATATTACCCTGAAAGGATGTATGTGGTCTGCAACAATAACTAGGTAGGTGGTACATGTCAAAGTAACAACCACACAAATTCCAGGATCCAAGATTTCCGAGCAGAACATTGCCCAGAACATAACACTGCCATTGTTGGCCTGCATTCTTCCCAAAGTGCATCCTGTTGTCATCTCTTCCCCAGGTAAATGACATACATGCACATGACCATGCAACTGATCTAAAAGAAAATGTGATTCATTGGAAAAGCAGCCTTCTTCCATTGCTCCATGATTCAGTTCTGCCTATTTAGGGCGCTTTTGGCAGTGGACAGGGGTCAGAATGGGAACTCAGAGCGATCTACAACTATGCAGCCCCATACGCAGCAAACTGCAATGCACTATGTGTTCTGACACCTTTCTATCATGACCAGCATTAGGTAGTTCAGGAATTTGAGCTACAGTAGCTCTTCTGTGTGATTGGACCAGACTGGCTAGACTTCACCATCAATGTGCATCAATGAGCCTTGGCATAATGACCCTGATGCCAGTTGCTGATTGTACCACTCTTTGTAGGTACTAACCACTGCAACTGGGAAGACCCCACAAGATTTATCATTTTGCATAACAATAGGTGGAGCAACTATTGGTTTTAAGGTTATCATTTTCTGCACAGCTGACATATCAGCACTATTAAAGTAAACCTTTTCCTGAAAGTGTTTATCAGAGAAAATGTGTTAAAAATATAAATATGGATCTGATGGCAATTAAAATCCAAATGGTCCTTGTTGCCAGTCTATTTCATATCTAAACACAGAGCATGCATTATGCTTTTATATCCAGCTCAGGGCAGCAGTATGTCTACACCAAATGTTATTTTCTTCGTAAATGGTTTTCAGTATACATTCCTACCACCTCTGCTGAAAGGCTTTTCCATCTACCTTGAAACAAGTGTTTTCGTTGGGTTCATAATTAACAGCTGCTTATTCTCAGTCCACAAATTTGAAATTAGTACTTTCAGTGTCTATTCCTCCAAGCCATCAGAGCATAACATATAACAAAAAGCATTAAAAGATTTAAAAAAAAATAACAATTGAATTTTTTATTTTTTTTAAAACTATTTTTGTTCCCTGGAAATAAAATGTTTTATTGTTTCTGTGCCTTACCTGAGGAGTTATCGGTCGAAACTGGTTGTAACAAAACAAATTCACCTCCCTCTTATCTGGATCACAGCTGAAATGCAAGGCCTCGTTTCCGTATACAGCAAAGCCTAGTACTCCAAGAAAAAACATTCGCACAGACCCAAAGAAAAGGGTGTGGAACTGACCAATCACAGTTGGAGGTCTGAGCTAAGGAAACAGAAAGCCAACATGTTAGGAAGCCTATAACTATTTTACCTTCAGTAAAACATGATTCTAGGTAATTAATAAAAATATATATATGTTAAAAATAAAAAATGCATGCGTACCGAGAATAGCCTGAATCCTGATTTCCTTTTAGTATTGACATTGCACCACATGCACAAAGCTGCCATATAGTCTATATTCAGATAACTTGTTTATCATTAAATGAAGCAATTGTCCTCAGCATTTCTGGAAACACCGCAGAAACATCTACTCACTGTTCTAGCTCGAGTGGTCTGCTCATTATTATCTGATTGGTAGCGAGTCAGCAATGAACAGAACAGAATGCCTGATTTATCTATTGTTGCCCACCGTCCTGTTAATAGGAAATCTCTAGACTTGCACTTACAAATATTTAACAAGAGAGCATGTTAGAATGGTGTTGTACTTTGGCTGCAAGCATTAACATCCAGAAAACGACATTTCTGCCAGTTATCAAAGCATTTGAATAATTCTGCACTCATTATTTAGGTATGTAGAAATGAAAGAATAAAAGGCGTGGAACATGGTGACACTTTATAAAAAAAAAAAAAAATTACATAATGTCAATAATAATTCTAAAACATAACTTATTTTTTTGTTTTGCTGGCTATAATATAATTAAGAGCATTGTCCACAAAAGTAACCAGTGACTGGATACTCACACATCCTTCATAAAAGTTCTTGATATAATTTAAAGACATCTCTCGGAAGACTTTATCTCGAAATACATCTAGAGTCTTTCATGTCACTCATTGCCAATTTGTTGTCACCGGACCCAGTCCAGTGAAATGGCTTTCGCATGACCCTTGTTGTCAAAAACTCTAACCTCTGCACATTTCTCTTTTTATCTCTGAGGCCCCAATCAATTTACTCTCTCAAAAAAAAGCAAAACAATACACATTACATGCGGTCAGCTTAATAATCCCCAACAAACGCAGTCAGCAGAAAGGCCAACACAACTCTAAGGTCAATGTACAACAGTGAGGATAACCACATTAGTTGATATGGATTCGGACAGAGTGACCGACACTGGTCATCTTCTCTATTGTTATTTTGGAGTATTCTTAGAAAGTCTTTTAAAAGCAGCCATCCCGTCTAAACAGACTGTGCTTTCCAGTGTGAGTTTCATTGCTTTTTAACAATGACCTTCACAGAAAATGATGGTTTACTGAAAGTATAACTAAATATAAAATACAGAATGTTTATGAAAGTAATTTAGTAATAAGTATAAATAAAACATTCCATAGAACGAGTGTTGGGATATTTTAAAGCACTATGGTGTATACTTTTTAGCAAACTGGCAAGCAATTGACATTTACCCCTAAAGATGATGGTGTGGAATAGACAACAGGAAGCTAAGAAAATGTCCTCCTCTGGTCTTAAGAAAATAGTGCCAGCAGTTAAATATTTAAAATTTAATGTATAGGAATCTGTACAGATGTGAATAATACACTATGTAATACTTTTATTTCAGACAGAATTATCACAAATAGAATTTCCCATTCCTTATTCTTCAATTACGGACATATATATCTCCATATTGACTATTAATTCACTAATCATACATCAGCCAGTTTGTGTCACATAAAATAAAGTTTCATGATTGTTTCATATTACTCAATACAGGATACATTTGTTGCAGAACAATTTTAATAACCATGCATATTTTGAAGGCCTAAAACAATAAATACTAAAAATTCCTTGTAATATTTTCTGGTGGATATATGTTCATGCCTCTATCAATACGTAAAGTGAGAATAGAATTTGTATATTTATTACATTTATATACCCACTTTTTCATTAAATACTTACAAGGTCAATTTAAATTAACACTTTTGCATTATTAAGGTCAATTTCTTTCAAGTCAAAGGTCAATGATAGGTGTTGGCTAGCGTTTGCCCATCACTCTCAGCCAATCATTACTGTCTATTGTGAATGAAAATGGTATTATCAATGCAGCCAAGATTGGGTATCGTCCCAGGGCAAAAAGAAGAGCCCTAAACGGTTTTATATTAAGTTCCGAGATTGCGCTAGGGCACTATACGCAAAAGTAGACATTAGTGGTTATGTTGCCTAGAATAGCTCTTTAATATACAACATACCCCAATCCACGAACTGGTATTTCAGTAGTAATCTGCATGGAAAAATGTACAGGTTCACAGCCTTTTAAATTGCATACAGTTAATCTTTTTTTTTTTGTCTAAATGAGTCTTTCAAAAGTAAAGAGTCACAATTTGTGGCATACATTTGATTGACATAAGAATTAAAATATTTCTGATATAAAGCTAAACATTAGTGAAAAATAATACAATTTACAGCACTTATATTATTCAAGCAAAACACAGTCAAAGTGTATGCATTGAAAGTGACTTGTAAATATTATAATCATCATTATAAAAAGGTTAGATTTTCAGAAGCATCACAATTACTCACCAACCTCAGGCCAGGAGTGGTATTGTTTGGACGACCCATTCAGTTGGTGTATTAATCCAATTTCATCCTTAAAAGTAATATTCCAAAAGCGATCTGTAGTAACAGAGCATGTAAAATCCACGTCTCTGCCATTATTACGCAGAAATGTGTCTGAATACAAACACCTAACCCTTATTCATGCCCTAAAGATAGTACGTCACCTCCTGTTACATTTGCAATGAAATACTTGCCATAAATAGCAAGGATTTTTCCATAACATCGGTGGGTTTACCGAACACAAGAACGACACACACTATGCTAGATCGACCACTCTATACTGCCTCATACTTTGTCTGCATTATGTAGTTGCAACTCAGCATCATGTGACTGTCAGGAACTGAAAGCCCTATTCATGTTCAAATAGAAACATAGAGTTTGATGGCATATAAAAGCTAATGCTGCATCTAGTTTAGCCATTCTAAAAAGCTTTATTTTTGTACCATTTTCCTGCTCAGAACAGCAATGTGCCTCTCCCAAACATTCATGAACATTTCCACTGTATCAATCACTGCTATCTCTGCCTAAATACTATTCAATGCATCTACATCCATAATGTACTTACATGGATTGGACATTTGTACACTATTTTAGAATTTAATACAATAATATATTTTTTGCTAATTTTGTACAATCATATTGATAACACACTTATTTATTGGATACTAGCTAACCAGCTAAGGCAATGAGCAAATATTTTATAATTTTTAGAGGTCTAGCAGTGGGACCAGAAGATTTATTTTGTCGCTATTTATGCACATTCTGTGGCAACAGGCAGTATAGTTTCTAATATAAAATAGCAATGCAATACGCATGGATTGGAGAACCAGTGAACTTATAACACTGAATTCATAGCACTTTTAGAGGAAGCGATTTGCATGGTGGATTGCATTGAGCTTACAATCTCGTTTGAGCAGGGTCCTCATCAACCTATTGTTCCTGTAACATTTTGTAATTGTCTCATTGTCACAGAGTATAACCCTAACACGCAGATTTTAGAAGAGCAAGGAATGGACAAAGGAAATATAAACATCTTACCGGGCCTTAGATTGGCTGGACTAAACGTTAGATAGAGTAAAGAGTAATTGAAATACAAGCCGAAGTCTGGGTAATGGAGAGACAGCGAAAACGAGAACTAGCCAGAATCAGGTATATGGTAATAATCAGATGGGCAAACAAGACAGGCAAGGGTTCAAAAGAAACTCACAGTCAGGAAATAAAGCCAAGGTCAATACCAGAATACAATACAATAACACAAGGAATGCACTAAAGCAGGGGTCCTCAAACTTTTTAAACAGGGGGCCAGTTCACTGTCCCTCAGACACTGTTGGGGGCCGGACTATAGTTTAAAAAAAATATGAATGAATTACTATACATACTGAAACAGACAAATAGACATATACAGACACACAGACACATACTAACATACATACAGACACAAACATGCATAAGGACATACACACACACACATACTGACATACATAGACAGACATACATATACATACTGACATACATACACACATACATACTGACACACAGACAGACACATACTGACATACATTCCCCCCCCACACACACACACACACACACAGACATACATACTGACATACATACAAACACATACATACATACATACATATATATATATATATACAAACACAAACTGACATACATACACACACACATACATACATACTGAAATACATACACGCATACACATACATACTGAAATACATACATACAGACAGACACAAACATGTACCATTTTTGGTAAATCTGTCATTAATGGAAAGAATACAAGTGTTTCCTTCTGAGGGAGGAAGGTCCACAATGAAGTCCATGCTAATGGATTGTTAAGATTCCTCAGGGATAGAAAGAAATTATTTAAAGGTTAAAGGAGATAAGAGGATGGAATTTGTTTAATGAATTTCGTATTGAAATTTGTGAAGCCAATGAATTGCTGTAATTCCTTTTTATACTTCAGAACAGGCCACTCTTGTACAGCTTCGATTTTCTTGGGATCCATTTTAATTGAAGATTTGGATATTATAATTTATATTATATCCATGGAAGGGAATTTCAGTAGCATGGAAAGTACACTTTGTAGGTTTAGCATAACATTTGTGTAAACATAACTAATTAGGAACCCTTTTTACTCGAGGAACATGTTATTCCAAAGTGTTTAAGATAATCAGGATAACATCAAGATACATTACAAAAAACTTATATAGAATAACTTTGAATATGTCATGTATAAAATGTTGTAAGGAAGCAGGAGCATTACAGAACCCAAAGAGCATGACTAGGTATTCAAAGTGTCTGGAATAGATTGTAGGCACCCCTGAGGTCCAGCTTAGTGAAAATTTTAGCATTTTTAATCCTTTCAAGTATCTCAGGTATTAAAGGGAGAGGGTATCTGTTTTAAGTTATTTTGTTTGTCTGTTGTCAAGGATATTGTCTGTAATCAATAATTTGCCTGATCTTGCCGTCTTTGTTGGTAACAAAGAATATTCCAGCACCTGCAGGAGAGTTTGAATGTCTTATGAATCTTTTTTTCCAAGTTCTTGTATTGATATCCTTTAAGTGTTAGTGTAATTCTGATAGGGGATAAATATGTCCATAAGGCATTTTTGAGCCTTCAGTAAGGTCTATTGCACAATCATAGGGATGATTTGGAGGTAAGTGGGAGGCTTCAACCTCACTGAGCACATCTTGGGATTTAGAATAAATCGAGGGAATAGAAGGAGAAATTGATCGATCCATTACACAGTTGATGAAGACAATTGTGAAGACAATGAGGTGAATTAAAATAAATTGAATTGGTTTACCAATTAATAGAGGGATTATGTAGTCTATGAGAACCACAAGATGCTGAAGAAATAACAAAGATAGATGTGGGGACTTCCTCAAAAATCTTCCATTCAACATGAGACTTATTTGTGGTTGTTTTTATGGGTAATGTTTGGTTTGTTATAGGACCCTTGTCAAACTTGGACCCATCAAAAAAAAAGGATTTGTATGGGAATAATTTTGTCTTGGACAACAATGTTATGCTCAGTAGCAAATCTGTTAGTTGGAAAACATCCTATGGCTCCTGATTCAATAATACTGCCTAGATCTGCATGACTAAATAAACAATAATACAACACACACAGCACTTACCTGCAAGAAAGGGGCAGATGACTGGGAGCAACTGCTTGCAGGAACCAACTGAAACAAAAGGATAAATGGAAAAGGAAAGGGTGTGGCAACTTAAAACAAACATTTAAAGGAATCCAAGAGACTGGGAATTCCAAGATGGGAATACAGGAATGAACCCAGCAAACCTAGCATAAAGAAAACCAGACATAGAATAGAAAACCAGAAAAACCAAGAAAAACTAAACAAGAATTGTAAAAAGAGTACTGGATAACAGAAGCCATTGCCAGAAATGATCCACAGCTAGGAACAGGATGTGACATTTCCAGACCAAAACTGAGAAATGTGAGGAAGTACTTAAGGAAAGTAAATCGTTCTTACCTATTCGGTTCTTTTGTAACAGATAGCATCTTGGTAGGTGGTGATTAGAGAAGGCACAGTAGAGACATAGATTGTTCTTTCTCCATCTGTGTTTTTCCTATTCTTATAGGGACCCTCTGATGGAACTGATTTCCATTGTTTCTGCTTTCATTGGATCTATATGAGAAAACTGTTTAGCAGGAGTGAAAGGGAAGGTTTTTTATTACGAAGGACAGAGACCTTTCTTTTAGCTTTCCTTTCACATAGGCATCTGTCTAATTAGATCGTGAGGTCAATAAGATTTTTCTGGGATTCTGGTGTCAATTCATCTCTGAGGGGATCAGAGAGTCCAATCCTGTATTGATACTTTAGAGTAGCTTCATTCCAAGCAGTATCAGTAGACCATCTCTGGAATTGTGTGATATACTCCTCAATATTGTTTCTTCCTTGTACCAGACTATGTAGTTTACTTTCAGCGGTGTCTGCTTTATTCAAATCCTCATATAGTTTAGATAAACAGGGATGTTCTGTTTCAAGAATTTGGAATGCCTACTTTGCAGGAGCAAAATGATTGTTTTCATAACATCACTGGAGTAAGTAGAGGGCAAACGTTAATTTGCATTCATGCAGGAAGGTTCTGAATAAATGCCTATCTCTGGAAAATGTGTTAGGTTAAGAGACTGTTGGCTCAGGAAAAGGAATCAATTTGACTTGGAATGTCGCTGTGTCTTAAGTTTAATTCATGAAGTGTTTGAGCATACTGCTTTAATTTTTCCACAGATTGAGACAATTGTGCTGTTTTCATTGTTTATTGGACACAAGAGGGCGCTGTAAATCTGTTATAACTTTGAATGTCCTAGTCATCCTATGGAAGTGGCTAATTGCAAGAAAACAAACTGAACATAAACGTCTTTATCTTTCAGGTTTGTACAAGTCATGTACACAAATCTGGGTCAAAAGCTTTGAGTTTGGTGAAGAGAGGCAAACCTCAATCGAGTGCTCTCAAATTCGGTGTAGCGGCCTGAAGACAATATACTTGTGAATTGAATGGAAAATGTTTACAGCGCACAGAGGCACTGACGGCGCAGGTTTTTATAGCGGAACGTGAGAGTCTTCCTTAACCCCTTAAGGACACATGACATGTATGACATGTCATGATTCCCTTTTATTCCAGAAGTTTGGTCCTTAATGGGTTAGAGACATACACACATTATCAACTTATCACAAAAGATGTCTTCACCCTATTTCTTTCATTAGTGGACTGGTCTGAAACAGAGCTGACTGGGTAAGAAGAATTTCTCCTAATTGAGAGGTGTGCCCAATAATTGAATCTGACCAAGTAAAAGTACATTTATAAAGTTCATTACATACTTTTCAAAGTTTTACTTGCTTTATTTTGGTTTGTATATTTGTTTAAAAGTGTTCGCTTTGCTGCCTTAAAAAATTATTGTCGGGGGCAGAGACTAGCTTTTGAGTGGAGAAGACGTGCGATGCTCAAGCTCCTGACATTCTACTTGCTCTTGGGTTGATAACCCAGGTCCATACACAATTACTCCCACTAAAGAGCACTTCTTGAGTCGGGGGCTCCGAGCTGATTACGTTGAGCCTTTAATTGTGATATCCACATGCTGGTGGCTCGAGAGCCACAGTTGCGGCTTGCTAGTAGCGGAACTGGGAAGGGGCGTCCGGCCTCCTTGCTCTTCAGCTCTTGGTGCAGTTCTGCTGAGCTCCTATTCCCCCACTTCCAGACTGGTGGGGGATAGCCTGGTCGCCACTGGATGATCTTGAGCTGTCTAATCTGCTCCTACCTACAACCCAAGCTGGAACCTGCTGGCACATCGCCTGTACAACGACTAAGATGGCGGCCTTTCCACCTGACGAGCAGTACCTGTGTCCATCCCAAAAGCCTCATCAGGGCACCGGAGTAGCGATGCTTTCCCTTACAGAGACCAGGTTTTGGAAGGGAGTATTGATTAGCAGCGAG